CTCCTGTGTAGAGAAAGGAGCTCGACAGGCCTCCAAAGTAGATGAGAGCCAAGTGCTCCAGTTTCAGAGTGGACAGGTAGTAGAGGCAAGCGGCACAGACACAACCCAGGGTGTAGAGAAAGACTCCAAACCGAACAACATCCTGGGGCTCCAAGATTCGATCCACCAGAGTCCTGTCGTCACTCTTTTTGTGGTCGATGCCCTTGGAAAAGTCATAGTAAGTGTTGACCAAATTGCCGGCCCCGTGAACAGCCAGGACAGCCACTGCACAGCCCACCAAGAGCCTGGGATCCAGGATACCCTGGGATCTGTAGGCCAAGGCACTGCCCAGGGCCACAGGGGTGAGTGAGGCACTGAAGCTCCAGGGCCTTAGGGCCAACACATAGGAGGCGCACTTCTGTCTCCAGGAACGCGGTGGAAGGCTGTCCTGCTCGGGCCAGTCGTTCCCCAGAGGGTCCCTGTCCCCGACCTTGGTCGTCTCTCCTGCCTGGATATTAATCTTCTCCCCCGGGGCCTGCAACGCAGCCATGGAAGTGACACGTGGCTGAAGTCAATTCTAAAAGTGAGCCACTCACAGGGACCGCCCCAGGACGAAGATAGGCTGGGCAGCCTGACCTGACCTTTCTTTAGTTCCGCCCCGGGACAGGGTTTGGGAGGCGGTATAAACATGGGACAGCAGAGAGCTGGCCATGCACCCCAACGGGGCCGGCGGCACTGCCACGACCACCTGTCACCTGAGCGAGGCCTGTGTGGTTCCCTGTCCGGCACCACAACTCAACAACACGCCACAGCCCGCGGCCTCCAGCGGGCCGCCGGCGCCGCCATCTTGTGCATCGGCCTCAAGAGGCCGGCCGGGAAACCCAGGCCCCGGACTAGCAGGGCCGGGAGAAGGCCGGCGAGAGGCGTGGCCGGCGAGGGGCGTGGTCAAAGGCCAGAACCTGGGTTCAACAAATAAACTAAAAGCAAGAGTCACTGGAAAATGATCCGGTTAGTACCCCAAGGATTTCAGGGAGTGTCGCTTTGCGATGTATTGGGCCGGTTCGCTTACTGATATAAGACTCATTGTGATGGGGATAGTTACCCCAATAAATCCTACGTTGAAAATGCTGTGTGCAAGCTGGGCCTGGTGGTGCCTCTCTGTGATCCTAGAACTTGGAAGATGATGTCAGAAAGAAAGTTCAAGGACATCCCTTATTATATAATGAGTTCGAGGCCAACCCAAGCTGCATGAGACCCTGTCTTAAAGAAGAAAAAGGAGAAAGAAAAGAGGGAAGAGGGAAGAGAAGGGAAAAGGAGAGAAACAGAACACCAAAAGAAAGAGAGAGAGAAGAAGAAGAAGAAGAAGAAGAAGAAGAAGAAGAAGAAGAAGAAGAAGAAGAAGAAGAAGAAGAAGAAGAAGAAGAAGAAGAAGAAGAAGAAGAAGAAATAAATGCTTATAAATAGAGAGCCAGGAAAAAAATATGGTGCAATGTTATGGATTATATATGTATAGCTGTAAGAAAAAGAACTAGGAAGTTTGCTGTGGCTGTGTACTAAGATGCAAAGACCTACACAACAGACTGGGATTTTATTTCTTTATTTGGAAAAAGGACTGGAGAGAGGGTTCAGTGGTTAAAAGGAGTGGCTTCCCTTCCTGAGGACCTGGGTTCAATTCGCAGCACCCAGAAGGCAACTATAACCACCTCTAAATTCAGTTCCAGGGCATCTGGTGCCCTCTTCTGGCCTCTAAGGGCACTAGGCACACATATGGTATGCATACATGTAGGAAGATCACAGTAGCTAAATACATGTAGGCAAAACACAGATTCACATAAAATCCAGTAATAAAATTACAGGGGCCTGTGAATCCCAGACTGGCCTGGAACTGGCAGTGTAGCCCATAATGCCCTTGAAATTCTGATCTGACACCGAGTGCTGAGATTATAAACACTCACCCCTACACTTGGTTTTAGGTGGTGCCAAGGATCCTACCCTCTAGGTAGATAAACTACCACCTGACCTACATCCCAATCCCACAGTTTGCAGGCTGTTGTGAGCTACCTGATATGAGGAACTGAACGGGAGCCCTCTGAAAGAGCAGCCGATCCTCAGCCAATGAGCCATCTTTCCACTCCTTATTTCACATTTTCTTCTTTAATTAATGTTATTTTCCCTTTTCAAATATTTATTTTATACTTTAAATTAATGCTATTTTTTCAAATGTTTATTTATGGGGTGATGCATGTGTGCTAGGTCACATGACAACTTGCAGGGTTAAGTTCTCTCCATCCACCATGTGGGTTCTGGGGTTTGAACTCAGGTCTTTAGGTTTGGTGGCAAGTGCCTTTATCCTGGATCATCTTGCTGGCCCTCTCTTACTTTTTGACACAGCATCAAATGTAGCCTGGAACTCAGCTTCAGGTGCCCAGGTGCCCGGATTACAGGTGTATATTTGTAAATAAGGAAAAAGCTCCCAAGTAGTTAAAAAAAATTAAATTATAAAACATTGTTACATTTCTTATGTATTAAACTAGAGAAATGTTACACTCACAGAGACAGACAGACAGACAGACAGACAGACAGACAGACAGACAGATGTAGATATAGATATTTGAGACAGGGTTGAGGAACCTGCCTGACTCCATTTTGAAGGCAGGAGGCCTTATGCTGCATTGTTAAAAATAAGTTTCCATTTACTGTAAGAGCTGAGTTGCTTTTAGTCTATTTCCTGGAACCTGGTCTGCCCCAAGTCACGACCTACATCTACCTAACTACATGGAGACCACATGGAGTTTTTTGAGATCTTTTTTTCTATAATATCTAAAGAAAGTATGTCTTCTGATGGGCAGTGCCGGCGCAGGCCTTTAATCCCAGCATTTGGGAGGTAGAGGCAGGTGGATCTCTGTGAGTTCAAGGCCAGTCTGGTCTACAAAAGCAAGTTCCAAGACAGTCAAGGCTGTTACACAGAGAAACCCTGTCTTGAACCCCTCCCCAAAAATAAGAAAAGAATGTCTTCCACAAGTCTCACTACATTTTAATTGGCATTTCCCCAATTTATTTATTTGTTTGTTTGTTTTGGTGATTGTTTTTGAAACAGGGTTTCTCTGTGTAACAGCCTTGGCTATCCTGGAACTCACAATATATGCCTGTCTCTGTCTCCAGAGTGCTGGGATTAAAAGGCATGGGATATCAGGCCCATCAGCATTTCTCCAATTTAATACCTAAGAAATGTACCAATGTTTTATAAAAGGTACTACAGTAGTATAATTTGTACTCTGGAAGTTTCTTTTTTGTTTCTTAATTTTAAAATGTAACTTTTAAAAATATAATTGAGAACCTTTACCTTATTAGCAAATATTTGTCTGCATTATAGTTATTAATAGCTTTATGTTTCTCTCAATATTAATGTATTTAACATTTTATTCAAATTCGAGCTATTTAGGAATTTTCGATGTTTTATCACAACTGATATAAAAAGTAAAGATTACACAAAAAGGATGTGCATAAATTTCATTTGAATTTTTTAATATTTATTTTTATATATTGGTGTTTTACCTGTGTGTTCGTCTATGCACCACGTGTTTGCCTGACGCAGGCAGAGCCCTGTTTAGGGCATCAGATCCCCTGGAACCGGAACCGGAGTTAGACGGAGTTGTGAGCCATCAACTGAGTGTAGGCTATCTGGAAGGGCAGCCAATGCTCTTAGCCACGAGGCTTCTCTCTAGCCCCGACATTGAATTACTGTTCCTCCAACCTCCAAGAATGTTGGGGTTACAGGCGTGTCCTTTATGTGGTTCTGGGGATTGAATCCACGATTTTCATGCATGTTGGGCAAGCAGTCAATCAACCGACTTACATCTATAGCTCCGGCTATTGCCTGTTTGACAGATTTAAAAAAAAAAAAAGGATTTTGCTTTAAAATCTTGCATTTAAAGTAGTTTCTTGGTGATTGTCTCTCGAGAATGACCTTTTCAAAAGTAAGGCAATCTGGGGGCAGTGAGAAGAAAATAAAAACTTCCAAATGCATATTAAATTTTACAAAGGAGAAATCACGAGTTCTCTAGTAAACTGGTTTCCAAGATAGCATGCAGTCTGCAGTCATTCGAGGGAGTCAGACACTCGGCTCCATCTCAGCAGCACGTCGGGCGCGGTCCCCAATCTCTACCCAGCTCTTCCAATAGGTCCGCGCAGTCCCTAGACCCGGGCGCTACACGGTCACAACACACACGGAGGGGAACCGTAGTAGCGACGCACCGGATGTGTACGTGGAAGTGACCGAAATCAACTCACAACTGATTGGTTCTCCGGAAAAGTCTTAAGCTTCTTTCGCCTGCCACTGGCCGCGTGTTTTGTCTATTTGAACAATCCCCGCCCCGTTAGAAGCCGGTCCCGAAGCTTCACTTTTTCATGATTATTGGTGAATGTTCCTGCCCATCTTCGTTCTCGGCCAGCTGATTGGCTGTCGGGCTTGCGAGCCCGCCTCCCCCTCCCGGGCCCAGAGGACAGCGGGGAAGGCGGGTGGTGGGACTGGGGGCCTGAAGCGGCGGTACCGGCTCAGGCGGCAGCAGCTGAGGCGGTGGCCGAAGCCGCGCGGTGAGTCTGGGGCCTGGAGCCGAGCACCTGCGGCCGGAGGGATGTCCAGGCTCACGGCCAGTCTGGGCCGTGCTGGGGGAGGCCCGGGAAGCCACCCGTCTGGACCAGGCAGCGCCTCTACACCAGCCCCGCCACCGGGGCGGCCCGCATAGCGCCCTCGGGGAGACCCCCAGGTTGGCGGATCTGCTCCGGGCCTGCCGTGGTGCCTTTAGGTCTCATGCTCGGTCTCGGTCACCCCTCGAGAACCACCTACAGACGGTGGAGCCTGCCCCTGGGAGCTGCAGCCTCCTAGACCGGGGTCAGTCCCCCTATCCCGCACCTTGAGACCTGTCGGGGACCCAGACCTCTGAGCTGAGCTGGGTTCCACCCTCCGAGCTCACGCTGTGTCTGCCTCGCCCGTGTCCTCACTTCTTGTTTCAACCTTTCAACGTGAACTTCTCTAAGGCATGACCAAAACCTTTGGGATTCTGTGACTCCAAGTGGTTACTTTGAATTCAGCCTGGGGCAGCTGGCTTGTAGGGAAAGCCTAAAATGACGCTCTGCTTTCGTGAGAATTTAAATTTCGTGTTGGCCTTCTTCCTGCTGCCTCGTGTGTGTACACACTCAGGAGTGGTTCCTTCCTCCCTAAAAGGGTCTGGTTCCTTTTGTAGTACCCTTTTTTCTAGACAGCAGTGCAGTGTTTGAAAGTTTTTCAAAACCATTTGTTCCTCAATTTATTTTCCCATCTCCTAGAGCATGACCTTGAACTTCTGATCCTTCTGCCAGCACTTCTTGGTGCTGGGCTTTAAAAGTGTGTGCTATCCTGCCTTGGTTATGTGATGCTGGGAATAGAACCCAGGGTTCTGTGCTTAATTAGGAATTGTGTTTGCTTTTTAGTGTAATCTGGCAGGATGGGTGTGCATGTCATTTCCATGACATTGTGAGCTAGCCTCCTTTTTATAGTCCCCCTGAATTGTAAACTCACTGGGGAAACGGCACAGAGTTGAGGAATGAGTGGTCCCTTTCAGCTCACAACTGTAATCAGTTGCCCCTTCCTGTCAGGGCGGATTTGTTTTGGAACTGCCTTCCCAACCCAGTGTAAGCCTGCCCCTCATGAAATGGTGTAGTACTTGTAGATATCCTATTGTATGCTTTAAATTATTCCTACATTGCTTTTAATGTCAAATACAACATAGAGCCTTGTTATACTGTATCATATAGCAAATAAGGATAAGAAAAGAAGCTTGTGTATGTTCAGTACAAACTAAGGGATCTCCTGCCCCATTGTTTTACCTTTTTAA